GAAAGAGCTTTCTTTGGTTCTTTCTCTGGAGCACTCCTGGCTCATTGTCTCTAGGGATCTTTGCATTATTGCTGAAGAGAAAATGTCTTTACTGTATTCTTGGTGCTTGGCGGGGGGCAACAGTGGGAGAGCTCCTAGTGTTCTGGCCCCACTGCTGGACCTCCTGATGGCACCTGGTATTTCTGGCCACTGTGTGACAGAGTGTTGGACTGGATGGGCCGTTGGCCTGATCCAACATTGGCTTCTCTTATGTTCTTAGGAACTCTCGGTCTGGGGCAAGGGATGCTCTGTATTCTTGACTGTATTCTTGGTGCTTGGGGAGGGCAACAGTGGGAGGGCTTCTAGTGTCCTGGCCCCACTGCTGGACCTCCTGATGGCACCTGGTATTTTTGGCCACTGTGTGACAGAGTGTTGGACTAGATGGGCCACTGGCCTGATCCAACATTGGCTTCTCTTATGTTGTTATATGAACTGTCGCTCTGGGGCAAGTGATGCCCTGTATTCTTGGTGTTTGCGGGGGGGGGGGGCAAAAGTGGGGGGACTTTGGGAGTTCTGGCCCCACTGCTGGACCTCCTGATGGCACCTGGTATTTTTGGCCACTGTGTGACACAGAGTGTTGGACAGGATGGGCCACTGGCCTGACCCAACATTGGCTTCTCTTATGTTCTTAAGGTATAGATAGGAACTCTCAGGCTGGGGCAAGTGATGCACTGTATTCTTGGTGCTTGGGGAGGGCAACAGTGGGAGGGCTTCTAGTGTCCTGGCCCTACTGCTGGACCTCCTGATGGCACCTGGTATTTCTGGCCACTCTGTGACAGAGTGTTGGACTGGATGGGCCATTGGCCTGATCCAACATTGGCGTCTCTTATGTTCTTATGTCTTTTTCTTCTCTCAGGGTCTGGTGAGTTTTGAGGACGTGTCTGTGGATTTCTCAGAGGAGGAGTGGGCTCTGCTGGATCCAGGCCAAAGGGCCCTGCACAGGGAAGTCATGGAGGAGAATTATGGGAACCTGGCCTCTCTCGGTAAGGCTCTGTCTTTCTGGTAGAGCAAGATCTGTTGCTGTTGTTAAACTGTAAAACTGTACTGTAGGAAGTCACCAGACACACAGAAACCTAGAGCTGGAAGGGATCTCATGCTTGCATGCATGAGAAGAGAGTTCCTTTGAAGGAGGGTTCAATGTGAGCAACGAAGGAGGAGGATGCTTGCAGGTGGGCCATATGCATTCAACAACCAGCCTCCTTCTGAGGTTGGACAAGATAGTCAAGGGCTGTAAGTTAACGAGCCAGTAGCTTTTCTTTCATGCTTCTTTGATTCTGCTTAGCTGTATGTAGATCTAGTAGTTACTATGAATTGTGCCTTGCAGTAATGAGGTTAACTAGAGGGCCTGCACATTTCCTTACTCTTGGTCTTGCTACTCAGCAATGATAACATAAGGTTCCCTTTTAGTGATGATCCTCAGGCAACACTAACCCAAAACCGGCTGGCCCTCCCAGGCCTTAAAGACACCAGGCTGGTGATAACTAGGGCCAGGGCCTTCTCAGTGGTGGCTCCGTACTGGTGGAATGAGCTCCCAGAAGAGATCAGGGCCCTGCAGGACCTTTTACAGTTCTGCAGGCCCTGCAAGACGGAGCTCTTCCACCAGGCCTTCGATTCAAGTCTTACGAAGAAAGGCTGAAAGAGTTGGGTATGTTTAGCCTGGGAAAGAGAAGGCTTAGAGGGGACATGATTGCAGTCTTCAAGTATTTGAAGGGCTGTCATGTAGAAGATGGAGCAGATCTATTCTCTCTTGCTCCAGACTGCAAGACTAGGGCCCCGGTTACACAGCAAAGTTGCCACGGGAGAGGCACGGGAGTCCCGCGGATTTTCCAGGCGTGATCTCACCCCAACATCTGGGAAGCGCAGTGCTCCCGTGGCAAACCCGTGGCTCCCCGCCGAAGGTGCGGAGTTAAAAACTAGTACCTACGAGGTACTAGTTTCCTGAAACTGCGGGCCAAGGGCGGGTGTCTGATCGCGTTCCCGGTGGACTTATGTGGCATCCTGTGCCCGCCGCTGTTCGTCTCTGCAAGTTGCCCAACAGCGCATGCGCACAAAGAGCGATTGCCAGTGTGATCGCGCCGCGCGGCTTCTGTGCCGCGCTGCAGGATACCCGCCTGATTGGCATTTTCCCCGAACCATGGGACCTCGACTGGGACGTGTGCTCAGGCAGTCACGGGTTAGTTTCCTCCAGGGCATTTAGCCACGCCTCCCTCCGCGATATCCGGCCCGTGTGGCTGGGGCCTAGATCTAATGGGTGGAAATTACAAGGGAGTCGTTACCGGCTAAATATCAGGAGAAACTTCCTAACTGTAAGAGTGGTTGAGCAGTGGAACAGTCTGCCTCGGGAGCAGTGTTCCCTCTAAGCTGAGTTAGAGTGAGCTAGCTCACAGTTTTTTAGCCTTCGGCTTACACATTTTTGTCTTAGCTCAGGAAGGATGACTCCAGAGCAAACTAATCTATGCAGTAGCCAAATTCCTTGCTCACAACTTTAATGCCAGCAGCTCACCAAGGAGAATTTTTGATCACAAGACTCCACAGCTTAGAGGGAGCTTTGCTCGGGAGGTGGTGGATGCTCCTTCGCTGGGCGTTTTCAAACGGAGGCTGGACGACCATCTTTTGGGTATGTTGTAGGTATGTAGGGCTATCTTTCAGCTATGCTCCTGCAGAGTGCAGGGGGCTGGACTAGATGACCTGCAAGGTCCCTTCCAGCTCTAACATTCTATGATTCTATGATTAGGAGCCGCCTCAAACACCGAGGGGTGACCCTGTGCCCTGGTTTTACCATCTGCAGCCTGTCTCGCCGCACAGATAGGCCCAGCCTCACCTACTGCTAGCCAGGCTCTCTGGGCCTAGTAGGCCTCTGGTAGCACAGCCCAGATCATGACAATTCCATTAGGAACCAGTTACTAAAACAGGTCTGTCTGAAATGACAGGAAAAAAAGTTAGTAACCAGTTCCTGAAATGGAATAGATAGGCTGTCTGAAATCCTTCTTAAATGGGAGATTTCAGGTCTCCCAAGTCCAATGCACTGTATATTGCACTGCATTTTATGTCACTGAATATGTCAAAAAGGGAAACTGAAAACATGGCAGGAACTGTATCCCGAAAAGATAAAAAACAGGTAAGTCTACACTGGATTTCAAGTATTGTTGGATTTCAAGTATTGTCTACTTACCAGTTGGACTGTTGAAAACTTACCTGTATCAATATTGGTTTCACCTGTGGGATTTTTGTAAACACTGCATCTGTTGTATTGTTGAGAAACTGTAGACTTACCTGTTGGATTGTTGATAGCTTACCTGTTGGACTTCCGGAAAAATTTAGGATTTACCAGTTGAATTTGTGTAAATACTACTTAAGTGGTATTCTTAGTTGTATTACTATCAGTTATACTTGTGTTACTCATTAGTAAATTGTTCTATATTTTTTCTTAGCGACTTTTTGCACAGTTTTTAAAATCTTTTCAGGAACTGTATCCCCAGTTACTCTTTTTTTTATTCTGTTAAGCATAGCAGGCGTCTACTGTATTTGTTAGCTGATAGAGACTTAATTTAGTTTTTCTCTTTATCCTACAGGGTGGGAGACCAAGAGCACAAAAGATCAGAGAAGGAAAACTGAAGCAAAGAAGAAAGGAAGGAAGGAATCCGGCATAACTGAAGGCGTCAAATTCACTCCAATCCAAGAAGAAAATCACAAAGGAAAGAAAAAGATGAATATACCTTCCCGGGCAAACAGCTTAAGTGGCACATCAAAAGGCGTAACAGAACAGAGAATGCAAAATGAAGAGAAACAGTGGAAGTGGTCAGAATACAGGATGGGCATCAACAAAATCCTTATTTTCCATGCAAGACTGCAGTTGGAGAACACATTTCACAGATGCGCAGTATGTGGAAAAGGTTTCAGAAAGAAGGGCAACCTTATCGTACATCAGAGACTGCACACTGGAGAAAAGCCATATACATGCTCTGAATGTGGAAAAGGTTTCACTCGCTACTCAGGCCTTGCTTCCCATGAAAGAATTCACACAGGGGAGAAACCATATAAATGCACCAAATGTGGAAAGAGTTTTGGTCACTTTTCCAGCCTTGCTTATCATGAAAGACTACACACAGGGGAGAAACCATATACATGCTCTGAGTGTGGGAAGAGCTTCACAATCTTCTCATCCCTCACTTCCCATCAAAGAATCCACACAGGAGAAAAACCATATAAATGCTCTGAGTGTGGAAAGTGTTTTAGTCATCATTCAAGTCTTACTTCCCATCAAAGAGTTCACACGGGGAAAACCTCAAATAAATGCTTGGAATGTGGAAAGAGTTTCAGCCACAGTGAAAGCTTTACTTACCATCAAAAAATCCACACAGCAGAGAAATTATATAAACGCCCAGAGTGTGGAAAGAACTTCAGAAACCACTTTACTTTTAGTACATTCCACATCAGGGAAAAACCATATAAGTGTACTAAGTGCAGGAACAGTTTCAGTCGCCCTTCAAGCCTTGCTTATCATCAAAGAATTCACACAGGGGAGAAACCGTATAAATGCACCAAGTGTGGAAAGAGTTTCAGTCACTTTTCAAGCTTTGCTTATCATGAAAGAATCCACACAGGGGAGAAACCATATACATGCCCAGAGTGTGGAAAGAGGTTCACAGTCTGCTCATCCCTTGTGTCTCATCAAAGAATACACACAGGGACAAAACCATATAAATGCACTGATTGTGGAAACAGTTTCACTCACCCCTCAAGCCTTGCTTCTCATCAAAGAATTCACACAGGGGAGAAACCATACAAATGCTCTGAGTGTGGAAAGAGCTTCACTTACAGCTCAGGCCTTTCTTCTCATCAAAGAATCCATACAGGGGAGAAACCATACAGATGTTCAGAATGTGGAAAAAACTTCAGTCACTGCTCAGGCCTTGCTTCGCATCAAAGAATCCATACAGGGGAGAAACCATATAAATGTTCTGAATGCGGAAAGGGCTTCACTTACAGCTCGGGCCTTTCTTCTCATCAAAGAATCCATACAGGGGAGAAACCATACAAATGCTCAGACTGTGGAAAGAGCTTCAGTCACTGCTCAGGCCTTGCTTATCATCAAATGGTCCACACAGGGGTAAAACCCTATAAATGCTCTGAGTGTGGAAAGAGCTTTGGTCATAGGGGAAATCTTACTTCCCATCAAAAGATCCATACAGGGGTAAAACCTTACAGATGCTCTGAGTGTGGAAAAAGCTTTGGTCACAGCTCAGGCCTTTCTTCCCATCAGAGAATCCATACAGGGGAGAAACCATATCAGTGCTTGGAGTGTGGAAAGAGTTTCAGTCACAGCTCAGGCCTTGCATATCATCAAATACTCCATACACAGGAGAAATTATATAAGTGCTCCGAGTGTGGAAAGAGCTTCAGTCACAGCTCAGGGCTTGCTTCCCATCAAAGGGTCCATACAGGAGAGAAACCCTATAAATGCTTAGAGTGTGGAAAGAGCTTCAGGCAGAGCTCAAGACTCACTTCCCATCAAAGAATCCACACAGGAGAGAAACCATATCAATGCTCAGAATGTGAAAAGAGCTTCAGTCATGACTCAGGTCTTGCTTCGCATAAAAGAGCTCACACAGGGGAGAAACCATTTATATGCTCTGAGTGTGGAAAGAGATTCAGTCATCGTTCAGGCCTTGCCTACCATCACAGAAGCCACACGAGACAAACTGTATAAGTGCTCCCCTAGCCTTTTCCAAAACTTGGAACAGCTTTGGACAGCCACTATTTTCTCTGGGTGGGGAAATGTACATAGAGCCATCCCAGGGGAATTTGGGGTCATGGAATGCTTGAGCTGGCATCCTGTATAGAATAGCCCTATCCGAGGGTGGAAGATTTCCCTCTGTTGTCCTTGTTAGGATAGTGTGACTTGGAAAAGCATGGAGATTGTGGTTCTCACCAGTCTCTGTGCGGACCTCACTGGCATGATTCTTTTGCAGAGGTATTAGTTGCAGGGGGTTGAGAGGAGGGGCTGACTGGTTTAGAGCATCTGCTTGGCATGCAGAAGGTCCCAGGTTCAATTCCTGATGGCAACTCCAGTTAAAATGGCTTAGCTCATTTCTTCCCAGGTCGGGGACAGAGGGTTGCACTGGGGGACAGTGTGTCCGCCAGATACTCCTTAACATCTCTCTTCTCTCCCCGATGTTGTTTAACATCTACATGTGTCCCTTTGCCCAGCTAGTGTGGAGCTTCAGGCTGGGGTATCATCAATATTCTGATGACACCCAGCTGTACCTGTAATTGGATGGCTACCCAAATACCACCCCAGAAAATCTGGCCATGGGTTTGGAGGCTGTGGTTGGGTGGTTGAAGCAGAGTAGGCGGAAACTGAATCCAGCAAGGATGGAGGTTCTGTGGCTGGGAAGGGGAACTTCAGAGTTGGGATATAGGCTGCCTGCTTTTGACGGGGTGCTACTGACACCGGTGCTGTCTGTCAAGAGTTTGTAATAACAACGGAGGAGGCGGTCTGCCAAATTCCATCCCACTTCTGACACCATGTAATGTCTTTTAGTAGAGAGCAGTGTACCTCTTCTAGCCACGAGGAGACCGACAACCAATACACCAGTACAGCACAGCTTAGGTCCGTAACCTTGTTTATTCAGTAGTATCCTCAATAATAACACACGCCCCGACCTGCAGGGAAGGAGGCTTAAAAAACGGAGAGAGGGAGGAGTGCCTCTCTCAATCCTTTTCAGGTGCATAGCACAATACAACTTAATCTTAAAGAGATATACACCACAACTGTAACTTGCTTTACGCTGGCCTGCCCTTGAAACTGACCTAGAAGCTCCAACTGATCCAGAACGCGGTGGCGCAAGCCCTGACGGGAATGTCATGGACAGCACATATACATCCAGTGCTGCGCCAGCTACACTGGCTCCCATGGGAATCACGAAAAAAATGCCGAGTCAAGTTCAAGGTTTTGGTATTGACCTACAAGGCTTTGAGCGGTCAGGACCAAAGTATCTATGTGACTTTCTCCTCTGTTATGTCCCTGGAAGAGCATTGCCAGGGGCATAGCCAGAAAACTTTGGGTGCTGGGGCACTGGGAAATTTGGGGGGGGCAGGAGAGGGGGGAGTGAGGGAGGAGAGATCCCATCAGCAGGCAGGTGAAGAAGAGAAGGATCTTTCCTTACCTGCCGGCCACACTCGTTTGGCTGGGGTGCTACAGAAGAAGGAGAGTGCATACCCGTCGAGGATTAATTGCACTGGTTGGCTCTCCTTCTCCTCTAGCGGCCAAAGCAAACCCATGCAGCTGGCAGGTAAGGGCATGGGCAGCGGGAGTTGTGGGGCGTGGGGCGCAAGTGAGGGGGCACTGCCCCTAAATGCCCCACTGTGGCTACAGGCCTGAGCGCTACACTCTTCAAATAACGAGCCGGCGGTTCCCGGCCCTAAAGCTATCCGGCTCTCCTCAACCAGGGCCAGGGCCTCTTCGGTTCTGCCCCCAAGTTGGTGCTACTCTCTGCCAAATACCACCAGGGCCCTGTGGGACCTTAAGGAATTCCGCAGGCCCTGTAAGGCAGGGATGTTCCACCAGGCCTTTGGTTGAGGACAGCGATGGTTTCCATCATGGCTGGCACCCTTTCTGCTCCGTCAGATTTTCATGTCTGTTTTACCTTCTTCCCCCCCCCCCCCCCCCCCACCACAAACCCACCATGGGACAAATTAATATATGGCATCTTTTTGTTTGAAATATCTTATTCGTGTTTTAATCGTTTTATCGTGATGTTCTTATGAATGATGTACATCGTCCAGAGCCCTGCACGGCAGGGATTGGGTGATTAACAAATGTCATAGATAAATAAAAAGGACCAGGCAGCAGGTGATGTGAAAGACCTCTACCTGAGACCTGGAGAGCCACTGTTACTCCGAGTACACAGTTATTGTTGTTCAGTCGCACAGGGGTCATTTCGTAGAAAAAGAGGTGCAGGAGCTCATTAGTATAACTCATTAGCATAACTTATTTGCATATGCCACACCCCCTGACATCACTGGACTGTTTTGGATTGCTAGTTATTGGGGGGAGAGGAATGTGCAGATCTGCCCTCGCAGAGGAGGGAGAGCTTGTACCTGAATAAAACTTGGTCTTAAAGGTGCCACTGGACTGTTTTGGGCGGGGGGGGGGCTCTGCAACTTACCTGGCTGCTACTTGCTCTGACTGAGGGGTGCTGGGAGCAGGGGGTGGGGCTTGTTGCATGTGCCCGCCCTCTGGGCTCTTTACTGCCGGAGCTCCGCTCCTGTGCGATCCTGCAGGAAATGACCCCTGCACAGTACTAATCTGTCTGATTCACTAGAAGGCAGCTTCATGTGTGGTAGCAGCTGAAAGGGTCCCATTGACCTCCAAATGCATCTCAGAAATTCTCCATTTGTCTTGGAAGGATCTCCTGTTCAGCCTTTGAACAATTTCTGGAGTGAAATGTTGTCCAGCCCCACTTAACCACTTTCTCCCGATTATTATAAGAATATAACAGAAGCCAATGTTGGATCAGGCCAATAGCCCATCCAGTCCAACAGTCTGTGTCACACAGTGGTCAAAAATACCAGGTGCCATCAGGAGGTCCACCAGTGGGGCCAGGACACTAGAGGCTCTCCCACTGTTCCCCCCCCCCAAGCACCAAGAATACAGAGCATCACTTGCCCCGGACCGAGAGTTCCTAAGTACATGAGAAGCCATTGTTGGATCAGACTAATGGCCCATCCAGTCCAATGTTCTGTCACACTGTGGCCAAAAACATCAGGAGGTCCAGCAGTGGGGCCAGGACACTAGAAGCCTTCCCACTGTTGCCCAAGCACCAAAAATACAGAGCATCACTTGCCCCAGACAGAGAGTTCCTATCTCTAACTTGTGGCTAATAGCTACAGATGGACCTCTGATCGATATGTTTATCTCATTCCCTCTTGAAACCGTCCATGCTTGTAGCCGCCGCCACCTCCTGTGGCAGTGAATTCCATGTGTTAATCACTCTTTGGGTGAAGAAGGACTTCCTCTTATCCATTCTAACCTGACTGCTCAGCAATTTCATGGAGTGCCCACCAGTTCTTGTATTGTGAGAAAGGGAGAGAAGTACCTCTTTCTCTACCTGCTCTACCTGCTCTATCCCACGCATAATCTTGTAAACCTTGATCATGTCACCCCTCAGCCGTCGTTTCTCCAAGCTAAAGAGCCCCAAGCGCTCTAGTTGCCCTTTTCTGCATTTTTCCCAGTGCTGTAATATCCTTTCTGAGGTGTGGTGACCAGAACTGTACACAGTATTCCAAATGAGGTCGCACCATCAATTTATACAGGAGCGTTATGATACTGACAATTATCTTGTTGTGACTATTAAGTCATCCTGAGATGAAGTAGATAGTACGTTTCTGCCAACATTGCATCTGCAAGACATCCAGTGGAGACGTTCTGTGTTGTTAGAAGATATTATGCACTCTTCCTATCAAGAAGCCATTGAGCCTTTTGCTGCTTTTTTCCTTGAAATAATTTATTGCCTTGAAATAATTGGTTTGAGTCCTACTGGCAGTGAGACTAGACAATACTGGCCTTGATGGACCAAAGGTCTGATCTGATATAAGGTAGCTCCATATGTTCATGTGTGAGTGACCAATCTCAACTCCTTTTGGGAAACCCCTTTCTGAGCTTTTGGAGTAAAACTCTCACTTCACTAGACGTCTGCCTCCACCATTCAAGGGTCTTTACGTATCTGCCCTACAACCCTCCCACTGCCTTGAGTCAGTAAAAGATTTGGGCATGGCTCAAGTGGTTAAGACGCTGAACTGCAGGCTGTGGAAGGGCGGTAGTTCAGCAGTTTGAGACCCGAGTATGCCGCATGACGGAGTGAGCTCCCGTCTCTAGTTCCAGCTCCTGCCAACCTAGCAGTTCGAAAGCAAGAAATTGCAAGTAGATAAATAGGTACCACTTCAGTGGGGAGGTAACAGCGTTCCGTGCACCTTGGCGTTTAATCATGCCGGCCACATGACCACGGAAACATCTTCGGACAGCGCTGGCTCTTCGGCTTGGAAACGGAGATGAGCACTGCAACCCTAGAGTCGGATTGGACTGGCTTTCGAGCAAGGGAATCTTTACCTTTTACCATGTTTTATATGTTTTTACCTATGGCATGGTAAATGACCTTGCCCTTGTTAGCCGCCCTGAGCCCATTGGGGAGGGCGGGATACAAATATGAAAAATAAACAAACAAATAAATAATAAAATACCTTTACCTTCCTTACATATGAGGGGCTGCGGTGGCTCAGAGGTTAAGATGCTGAGCTGCAGACTGGAAGGTCCGTAGTTAAACAGTTCGAGACCCGAGTTCCGCATGACAGTCTCTGGCCCCAGCTCCTGCCAACCTAGCAGTTCGAAAGCAAGAAGTTGCAGGTAGATAAATAGGTACCGCTTAGGTGGGAAGGTAACACGCTGGCCACATGGCCACAGAGAAGTCTTTGGACAGCGCTGGCTCTTCAGCTTGGAAACAGAGATGAGCCCCCTAGAGTTGGATTCGACTGGCTTTCGAGCAAGGGAAACCTTGCCCTTTACTGGCATATGTAATCCTTCAGGGGGAAAACACTAATCTTATAGGAGAGAAGAAGAGATTGGATTTATACCCTGCTCTTCACTACCTGAAGG